ATAAATTAGACAGGAGGGTCGTGATGAGGACACGGTGATGGGGAGCGACCCTAGTGCGGATGGGATGAGCACGAGGCGTTCAGGGTTGGGGGTGTCTTCAACGACCCAGTGTTTGATGCTCGATATGGGTATGTGGGATGAAGTACTGTTTCGTACTTGCTTTCTTGCTGTCTTTGCTTTCTTGATTGGACCTTGTACAAATAACAAACGAACTCGACGCTTTTTCCTCTCGACTGTTAATTTCCCACTGTCCCGAAAAGCCAAATGCGATACTTACGTGATGGCGCTTACAAATGTGTGTTCCCCCTTTCTGCCCAGTGAACATCTCCATTTCAAGTTTCTGTCCGCGTCGTTTTACTGCGGTTTTCTTGCGTGGCTCGACTCGGAGGCACAACATTTCAGCGATTTACATAGTGGTTATCGCTACTGTAAGAGCCGCAATCCTCGACTTTGAAACATGTTGTCCTTGGCCACCGTGCGTTCCTTAACGGGCATCTTTTAATACCACGTTAACCACGTTTTGCGGGCGGCTGTTTCAAGTTCGGATACAAATCTTCCTCCTATAAAAATGACGATAGCAGAACTGCCAAAAAAAACTGCTGTCTCCCATGGCCTTTTCAACCTTTGCAGTCGGCGGTTCTGCCCTCGTTTTGCTTGTCGCCGGTTTGGTCTGGCAGAGAACTTGTAAATCACCGCCTCCATGGCATGCCGAACTCGCTGTGCTGGGTCAACCAAGAGCCAAGAAACTGCCGGGGACTGCTGTGGTGTGCGGTGGAAGGTTATGCGCCACCCGTTCTTCCCCAGCGTACTTTCTGACTCTTCAACAGCATCGCAGGGAGTGTCACCGCTCGGATATTGGCCGATCACTTTGACCGCGTAATTCTCGTAGACCCAGAAGTCGACAAAATCGATGAATCCAAGACTCGCATCTTGCAATACAACGCTTTCCACGGTAACAATTCCCCTACTGAATAGTGCTGGCAGGGTTCGGTTCGGTTCAGGTTCGGAGCACTTCTCCCCGAACGCTGAACGCGAACGCGGCGTTCGGTTCAGGCTCTTGCCGAACCCCGAACCTGAACGCGCGTTCAGGTTCGGTTCAACGTTCGAACGCGTTCGAACGCGAGGAAAAATTGGCCTTCTTGGGGAGTTGAAATTTGTTGCATGAGGGCATGTATGTGTTGCAATTATGTATCCACTTGGTGAGTGCACTCAATAGCGCTTATTAAGCACGCTACTGACCCATATTTCACGAGATACAGTGGTTACAAATTTCAAAGGTCGAAAATTCAACTACGCACGATGTCGAAATCATAGCCAAACCACTTGCAGTACCAGGCTTGGGTTGCGGGAGTATATATCTGAGAGTAAAACGGTGCCAGAAATGACAAATAAGTTGAAAATTCACTCAACTTTAGGGCATTTCGGTTCGGGGTTCGGTTCAGGTTCGAACTTACGCCGCCCAGCGCGAACGCCGAACCTGAACTTCGCGTTCGGTTCGGCCCCCACCCGAACGTTGAACCTGAACGCGGCGTTCAGTTCAGTTCGGTTCAGGTTCGGACCGATTTCCGAACCGAACCCTGCCAGCACTACTACTGAATGTTGAAAACTTTGATGAACTCGAACGTGATCTTCTCTAGTATTTCTGTGTCTTTTCGTCGCCGGCGCGAGACGGCTGTGGCCGAATTTTGACGCGGAAATTCAGGCGGCCGGGGGGCGGTAAGTAGTGAAGGCGAACGACTCCGAGGTTGGCTGATTCCTTCAGATTTGGATCCACAAAAGCTGGACTACACTACTCGGGGATCCCTATTATATTTCCCCCATCTTTTCCGGAGACGATGACACTCAGGCGTCCTGGCGTTCAACGGGTGATTCAGAAACTATTAATGCAGCACCCGACGGCCACGAATATCACAGTTATCCTCGGCACCGTGCGGGGTTTTGGTCCCTCTGGCGACACGAGTTCTATACAATCGGTGCTCATCCGCAAAACCGATGGAACCCAAGTATCTCTGAGTGATGTTGCCTTGGTCGTCGGTAGGTGGTCTTCCTCGGCACCCAATCATTTCAATTGACATTGTAGACTGTACCGGTCCAATCCAATCCGGTCTCAAGTGGCTCAGGAGCGCAGGCTTCGCCCTCCCAGAAAACCTACGACGCTCATACAGCGGCAACATGCGCTACACCACGATTAATTTTACCGTCACACCAGAGCTCGAAGCTAAGCTTCCAATCCCAGGGCTATCGAAGGACACCATAATGATATATTCCAATGTGCCGCATTCTACCTTTGGCTGTTTCCTTCTGGGGTTCTCGAAACTCGAGGAAAATACCAGTGCGAATCCTCTACGGCCAAAATATCGTTGTGATTTTTTATTTTTTCAACAGTGCAGATGCTCTTCAACGATAGCGGTGAAGGAGAGAGCGACATGCCGCGCGTCGCTTCCGATGTCCTCGCATATCTGCGACGATTCCCGAGCCATGAACCCATCCCACCATGGTTTTTCGAAGTTATTGCCCTTCTATGCGAGAAGGGAGATCCTGTGTTCTACCAGGCCAAGAGCTGTGCGTCTCCTTGCATTACAATCGAATTCACTCATACGTGGATAAATCCAGCGACCCAGTCGTACGTTGAATACCATCGCGTACCAGCACGCGACCTGCCATCAAACTTCATTGCCATCGGCGACGCTACTCTCCAACTGAATCCAGTCCATGGGTAATAACATGTTTCTGCATTTTCCACCTGTGATGCCAACCCACATCAGGCAAGGGTTCGCAAAGATTATGCTCAACGGCATCGCCCTCGACGCCCTTCTTCGCTCCCTCAATGCTAACAGTCTCCCGAGGGACTTTTCCGCTCAGTATTTCAAGAAAAGCGCAGCGTATATAGGAGGCTTGTGGTGAGCAGAATTACCGCAATCGTTTTGTTTCCACCTCCTTATCTCTCTCAAGGGACGCCACTAGATTGCAAGGTACGCACAGAATGACCTTATCAAACACGCCAGGTGAAACTGTAACCCAAATCCAGACTACGCATACCCAACATGCCACCCCATGGAAGGCGAAACGCACGAGACGGGCCGCTTCATCCGTTGGTTTGCCGCCAAATTGCTGGCTGCTGCGACACAGGTGTGTTTCTTTTTGGCGCTACTAGTTGTGTTTCCGAATTCTGAATGAAATTTAGGACGAAGAGGTAGCTACGGCGATGTGGAAGGCTCGTCATTTCTTAGTGGCAGACTCGGCGTTGTTTGCGCCAACGGTGCTGTGGAAGATTTTGTGGACTAGTTCACGCTTTTAGACGGACCAAGCTAATAAAACTTCCCAATTCGCGATGAGTGATGGTTGGTGTTAGACGTGATAGAAAAATCCAGTAACAGAGTCCTACATCCATGACGTGTCCTCGAATTTCGTCGCCGTCCCTGCCATTATTTAAAAGACTCGGAGGGAGAAATTACTTGTCGCCAACAACTACCGACGAGCCTGACGCACTCAGCTGATTTGTTGCGCCCTTTAGTTGCTCATATGCCGTGCTTTGGATTCATCTCGAGAATAAAACACGTACAAGCGTCGACTCTCAAATAATCGCGAGCTTTTAACGCGTTCAACGGGCCGTTCCAATGCCGACTCACTCACTTGATGCCGCTGATGTAGGTCTCAGGCTGCGGCGGCAGCAGCAGCAGCGGCGCATCTGCGACAATGCTCTCTGCGATGGCGGAGTATGCAGTGCGGACGGTGCGGAGACGCAGCTCGGGGTCGATGGCTTGGTCGTCGTCGTCGGTGTCGTTGTCGTCGTGTGGGAGGTGGGTGGGCGGGCGTTTGAAGGAGGACATTGAGGCCAAATTAAGAGGGTGTTGACGGATGTTTTGTGTGTCAGCGGGATTATGCGGACGCCGCTATCAGCAACACCACGCAGCGCAGACTGATCCACAGAGCGCGGCGACTCGACTGGCGCTGGACTGAAACGTCGACACGACTTCCAATCCACCTCGCGCTACCTGCTTAATCAAAACCCAATACCCCGCGACAGATGCCTCTTCATCTTTCTTCGGCTTGATTCTTGCTTGATTCGTCGTGTCGTGCCCTGTCGCGCCACAGCAAATTATTGGATGTACCCTTGATGACAAGCTACACTGGATTCAATTGAACCTGACTTGGGTTAAGCTTGGCAAGTAATCAAAGATTCAAACTAAATTAAAAGGGCCTCACCGCTACCAGTGTGTCAGACAAAGTGCATCTTGGCTACTGCGGCGCTGTGGTTTCTCAGGCTTCGCGCGCCCCTGGTACTTTGTTCAAGCTACGCCTTCACACTTGAGGACTTCTGCGCAGCGCAGCGCTCTTCTCAGTCGACCTCGCGCCCCCTGAATAATCAAAACTCAACACGCCGCGAAACCAAACCGTTGTGTTCCAATCTTTTTGTCGCGTCGCGCCGGAAGAAGATATTGAATGGGTGTTTGCTTGAAGACAAAGTTTGAAGTTAGGAGATTGGCTGCGATGCGACACGATACCGCGGGTTTCAACTCACCGTCAAGCTAGCATTTCAGCGTACAACGAGAATTTGCACGCGGTTATTATACCGACCCGTTCAAGTCCTCCTAAGGCGTAAAACATATCCAACGGTTTTATTTTAGATTGAACCTGTCAGTCTTGAAGCTCATCAACGTCGTGCGCGCAACTCGGTGCTGAGGCCCGGAAGATCCCTTGGTTCTAGTGGGTAACACCGGCCCAATGCCTTGACTCACTCCGTTACTCGATGCCAGATTCATCGCAAGAATATAACGCGCCCTGAATGAATACCTTCAATCGACCCGCGCCCATTCAACCTTCACTCACTCAAATCTGTTCAACCGCTGTGCCCTCCCAAAGCCTAACCGAGCCCGTAACTCGAATTATGCGCCAGTTCGGAACTTCCAGAATCTCAACTCGCAACTCGCAAGATCATGCCGGCTCATCATCCAACGCCAAAATCTCCCACCTAGGAGGCTTCAATACCAGGTCAACAAGCCTGTGTGGATTAATGGTAAATCACCTCCGCTGCGTGAACCCCTCCGTCTCCTGTGGAGGAAACGTAGGTTCGACTCCTACTGGAGGCGTAGGGACGGTTCTTTGCACCTTTTTTTATTTTCTGTCGGTACTTCAAAATCTCAAAACATTTTCAATGGTACTCGATACGAAAACTTGCGTGTTCAGTTATTTCAACTCAACGTTCGAACATGCACCCATCCAAACCTCACCACAATCACCGTGAGCCACTGCAATCCAAACAAATTATACTCCCACCTACTCAGCCTGACCACCAGGTCGAGAAGCCTCTATAGATCAATGTTAGATCACCTTCGCTGCGTGAACGGTTCCACGTGTTTCGGAGGAGACATAGGTTCGAGTCCTACTAGAGGTGTTTGCCATTTTCTGTTCACTCTTTTTCTTGGCACTTCAAAATCTCGCAACATAGAATAGTGCTCGATGCGCAAACTTACGCGTTGAGTTCAAGGGGCTTCGAAGATAAGAAATTTCCTTTTTGGGAGGGGGGGGGGGGGGTCCTTCGGGCTCGAGATTTTTTTGTGGTACCAAATTTTACATTTCGTTCTACAGCCTCGATACGCGCATAAAACACATTAAAAAATATTTTTGATTTTTTTCACCGTTGCCGAGAATTGCCGAGATGCCATCAGAGATCAAGGAAAGCCTTGTCCTCCGCAACGAATGCTTCGGTGAAGCCGGCTGATCTTATTACTGCGAGGAATTAAGAATGCCGCGGTGCCGCTACTCCCATCAAGATTGCCGTCCACCGGCGACGGCCGTCTTCGGTCTGACAAGACTTTTTTCTAGGCTTCTATCTTGTTCTCGTTTGATTTCATCCGGTCTGACTGCTGTATACCACATCACTCTCCCAGCTTCAGTTGTTGCATCACCATTCTCAAGACATTCTGTTCATTACAATTGGGCCTCGGCACACCGGGACTGCGGGCATGTTTGGTGTGCAAGAACATATCATGCACCAGACTGTATGGTCCACTGAGTATGTTTTCAACACTTCAGTAGATGTAGTTGCGCCTAGAAAGACGTTTTGCGTCTCGGATATATCTCTCAAAATGGGAATTTGATCGCATCACCCCTTACGTAGGGGGGGAGGGGTCCGAGGTCTCTGAAAAAAAAAATGGAAGGTATGCTGAGATTTTCGCGAAAGCAAATCCCCTTGGTTGAGTTGGTTCAATTCACCATGCGAACACCTATCCAAGCCCGTGAATAAACTCACCTCAAGCGGCGGCACCCTTCCACCCTCTTATACTCCCCCCTAGTAAGCCTCACCACCAGGGCAATAAGCCTCTATAGATCAATGTTAAATCGCCTCCGCGTGCTTTTAGTTGTACTTCGGAAGAGACGTAGGTTCGAGTCCTACTGGGGGCGTAAAAAGTACGGATCTGCATTATTTTTATTTTTCTGTCCGCACTTTGAAATCTAGCAACATTCAATGATACTCGATACGAAAACTTGCGTGTTCAGTTGTTTCAATTTAACATTCGAACATGCACCCATCCAAACCTCAACCCTTTAAACCACGGTCCCCCTCGAGCCGCTGCAATGCAATCAAATTATGCTCTCACCTAGTAGGCCTCACCACCAGGTCGATAAGCCTCTATAGATCAATATTAGATCACCTCCGCTGTGTGACTCTGTGCCCCGGTATACTTCGGAGGAGACGTAGGTTTGAGTCCTACTGGGGGCAAAAAAGGACCGGATCTGCATTATTTTTATTTTTCTGTCCGCACTTCAAAATCTAGCAACATGAAATAGTGCTCGAAACGCAAACTTACGCGTTGAGTTGCCTTAATTCAACATTCAAACACCCATCCAAGCTGTGACCGCGAATAAACACGAATCATATTCACCTCCGACGGCGGCCCTCTTCCACCCTACAATCAAATTATACTCCCACCTAGTAGGGTTCAACACCAGGTCAATAAGCCTCTATAGATCAGTGTTAGATCGCCTCCACTGGGTGGTTCTGCTTTCCACAAGCGTAGTTTGGAGGAGACGTAGGTTCGACTCCTACTGGAGATGTAATATAATAATGTCGGGGTACTCCGCACTTTTTCATTTTTTCTCAGTACTTCCAAAATCTCGCAACATGAAATAGTGCTCGAAGCTAGTCTCTCGTAGACAGACGCTACAACATACCTTGCTCGTACCTCGCGTGTTGTAGTCTGTTGATTAGAGTGATCCCTTGATCGCTCGCCAGATTATTACCAATCATAAAATTTCTCGGATGCTAAGGTGAGTTCTTTGACGCGTTTCTTGCCAATTTACGGCATCCATGACGCTCAGTACATTGACCCGAGTCTTCCCTGAGGCGGAACTCAGTTGCGAAGGTTCAAGAGCGGCGATGCCGAAATTTGATGCCCAACATGCCGACGGCATGCGCCAAACATCGAGATATTCGTTCAACCTCAACGGCATAGAATAAGAATATTCTGAATGTGCAAATCCCTTCTTAAGGCAGTAGAGTGTACCGATTTAGTTGAACTTCAACTGCTGGAGAATGTAGGGAGCAATGGGAAGGGAGAGGGAAAATGATTTGTAATCACCCTGCCAAAAAGATTGGTAATAATCTGGCGACCGTACATCGGTGGCGCGGTTAACTACAGACTAGCTCGAAGCGCAAACTTGCGTGTCGAGTTGTTTCAATTCAACATTCAAACATGCACCCATCCAAACCCCGCAACTAGACATGAATTATACTCACCTCGAGCGGCGGCACTCTTCCATTATTCTCCCATTCTGCAAACAAATTGTACTACTCCCACCCACTCGGCCTCACCACTAAGTCAATAAGCTCTCTAGATCAATGTTAGATCACCTCCGCTGCCTGTTGAGTTTTGTTCTAAGCATCCTTCAGATGAGACGTAGGTTCGACTCCTACTGGGGGCGTGGAAGTTCTCTGCACTTTTTTTTCTGTCCGCACTTCAAAGTCTCGCAACATGGAATAATGCTCGAAACGCAAACGTGCGCGTTGAGTTGTTTCGATTCAATGTTCGAACATGCACCCATCCAAGCCCCGCAACAAACACGAATCATGTTCACCTCGAGCGGCGGCACTCTTTCACCGGTCACCCTCCATCCTAAATTATACTCCACCTAGTCAGCCTCACCACCAGTGGATAAGCCTCTATAGATCAGTGTTAGATCACCTCTGCTGCGTGATCGCTCGCAGCCACACTTCGGAGGAGACGTAGGTTCGAGTCCTACTGGAGGGGTTTGCAGCAGTGTTCTTTGGACTTTTTCATTTTCTCTCGGTACTTTAAAACACTCACCGGTGCTCGACGTACAAACTTTGCCCCTCAATTCAACATTCGAACACCCATCCAAGCTATGGCCGCGAATAAACACGAATTATATTCACCTCGAGTGGCGGCACTCTTCCAGCCTCCAAACAAATTATACTCCCACCTAGTAGGCCTCAACACCAGGTCAATAAGCCTCTACTATAGATCAGTGTTAAATCACCTCCGCTACGTGAAAGGGTCCATGTGCTTCGGAGGAGACGTAGGTTCGAGTCCTACTGGAGGTGTTCGTGATGTTTGCAAGTGCTCCGCACTTTTTCAATTTTTCTCATTACTTGCGCGGTGAGTTGAGGACTTGAGATTCAATTCAGCATTTGAACACCCATCCAAGCCCGCGAATTATATTCACCTCGAGCCGCGGCACTCTTCCACCCTCCGAAAATTATACCCTGTCTAGTGCGCCTCACCACCAGGTCAGTAAGCCCCTATAGATCAGTGTTAGATCACCTCTGCTGCGTGTTCGGTTGGTACGCGTACTTCGGAGGAGACGTAGGTTCGACTCCTGCTCGGGGCGTACAAAAGTGTGTATGGTTGCACCTTTTTATTTTGCTTTTTTATTTTGCCTTTTGTACTGCCCTTCAACACTTCTGGATCTCAAACCCTGCTCGGCTTGCACGTTCCATCCAATTCAAACCCGTGGTTCAATTAACTGATAGTCAACTGCACTGTGACTTCTTGCAGGATAAGCCTCTATGGATCAATGCTAGATTACCTCTGCATTGTTTGCGAGTTCTTTTCAATCATAGGTTTCGGAGGAGATGTAGGTTCAATTCCTACGAGGGGCCTAGTTCGAGGTTTGTTTAGATGTCTTTTTTGTTTAGCATTTTGAGAGTGCCAGCCCAACTCTGGGTAGCAGCTTTACTCTGTTGTGTTCGGCAATTGGACAGCCTTTCGTAACTGCATTCCTGCTACTCTAACACCATCTCGTCATCCAATACTAATCAAATCAATGTTGAACGCCCTACAACGAATTTCCGGAGCGTAAAATTTGCCTGACTGTGCAGCTTCAGTTCAAGAGTGAAGAAGCCTCTATGGATCAATGTGATATCACCTCCGCTCTATGGGAGCTTTCTTTCAGCATATTTCGGAGGAGACGTAGGTTCAACTCCTACTGGGGGCGTAACGATTATGAGTGTTTGCAATTTTTAATTTGTTCTCGCAGCACTTCAAAAATCATTCACCATACAAACTCGGCGTCTTGGGTTGAGATTCGAACACCAACTCGGATCCAAGCCTCGACCCTTCGACCCGCGAACAACATATGCTCACCTGTAGCCGCGGCACTCTTCCACCCTCCAATCAAATTATACTCCTAACTAGTAAGCCTCACCACCAGGTCAATTACGCTTCTATAGATCAGTGTTAGATCACCTCCGCTGCGTGCATCTGTTTCAAGTATACATCGGAGGAGACGTAGGTTCGAGTCCTAGTGGAGGTGTTTGGACCCTTCTATGCACTTTCTTTTTCTCTCAGTACTTTAAAACCTCGCAACGTGGAGTAGTGCTCGACGCACAACCTTTGCCCCTCGATTCACCATCTAAACATGCATTTGAACACCGCAAATAAACATCAATTATATTCACCTCTAGCTGCGGCACTCTTCCACCTCGAAATGAAATTATACTCCACCTACATGGTAAGCCTCACCACCAGGTCAATAAGCCTCTACAGATCAATGTTAGATCCCTTCAGCTGCGTGAGTGCATTATTCACAACATAATTCAGAGGAGACGTAGGTTTGAGTCCTACTGGGGGCGTAAACAACCCTGCATGGTTGCACCTTTTTATCTTGCCTTTGTGTGCTGCCCTTCAACACTTCTGGATCTCGGACTGCCCAGCTTGCGCGTTCCATCCAATTCAAAACCATGGTTCAATTAACTGATGGTAAACTTCCTTCCTTCAAGACACAAAGTCCCTGGTAGCGAGCCACATTTCTCTTTGACTACATAAAACCACCGTGACTTCTTGCAGGGTAAAGCCTCTATGGACCAATGCTCGATCCCCTCTGCATCGTGTTTCTTGTGCAGTATAGGTTTCGGCGGAGATGTAGGTTCAATCCTGCTGGGGGCCTGTATCGGAAGTTGAGTGCATTTTTTTTGTGTTGGCAACTAACTTTGAATGTGCCAAGCCCACTCTTCGCATGCTAGGTGGCTGCTCTGTTTGACAAATATCCGGCCCTTAGATCCTAACCGCACCCTTGCCACTCGCTTCATTGATTTTCAACATCCGATCAACTTGAAGTGGAGATTCAACATTCAATATTCACCGTTACATATAATACATCGTCGGAGCACTCTCGAAATTCTCCAAGCTCATTTGAGTTCAGTTCAACGAGGAATATGCCTCTATAGATCAATGCTAGATCACCTCAGTCCATTGTGGCACTGGGCAATAACCATTTCCGAGGAGATGTAGGTTCGAGTCCTACTGGGGGCAGGCGACGCCAAGATCCTCTACCTTTTTCATTAATTCCTGCCCACAGGCAATTTCGGTGCCTCTGCATTTCAGACATGTATTACTCGACTTGTGCATTCCACTCGATTCAAAACCGCGGTTCAATTGAACTGATATTCAACTTCCTGCAAGTTGCAAGGTCCTCCTACGGTGAATCAGTCACATTTTCTTTGACTGTAGACAACCACCTCTTCCAGGATAAGCCTCTATAGATCAATGCTAGATCACCGTGTTTCCAGCGCAACATAGGTTTTGGAGGAGATAGTTGGAATCTTACTAGCGGCCTTTCATGGCCAACATCTTTTTTTCCCCCTCAGCACTTTGACGGTGTCTGCCCAACTCTTCGCAGTCTGTGCCTAATCTGCGAGGAATGGACAGCCTTTAAATTTCAACTGCACTCTCGGCACCAAGTTAATTGATTTCCAACAATCGAGTGGGGATTCAACGGGAGTACAGCCGGAGCACACTCTCAAAAACCCCACTCATTCGGGTTTATTTCAACAGAGAATAAGCCTCTATAGATCAACGCCAGATCGCCTCCGCTTCATATTGCGGCGTTAAAACTGAAAATTGCAAAGCGAGGAGATGTAGGTTCGATTCCTGCTGGGGCCTTAAGGTGCTGGGGTTCTAAGACTTTTTTGTGTTAACAACTTACTTGAATGCACCAACCCAACTCTCCACCTTCTGAGCAAGTAGATCTGCTCTGTTCAACCAAAAGTCAGCCTTTTAACTGCACTTTTTTTTTTTTTTTTTGACAATATCTTCTTCAAGATCCAATCAAATCAATAAATATGTTCTACAACTTCAATGGCCTTCTCAAAATTCTCCGGACTCATACAGGTTCAGTTGAATGGCAAATAAGCCTCTATGAATCAATAATAGATCACCTCCGCTCCATCGTATCGTCGTTGGTGTATATTCGGAGGAGATATAGGTTCGATTCTTACCAGAGGCGCGCGCGCTCTTCGACACTTTTAGTTTCCGTGGGAGGTGTGTCTTGTCCCGCTCACTGCAAGCCTTTGAACCATGTTTTGGTGCTAAGCGTTAGGTCGGACTCGGTCGTTCCACCTTTTGCTTTCACCCTATCCAACAACCCTTACAGTCGCTCACATGTCCCATCAGCTCTCCCCGACGACATCGGACGTCTTGTTTTTTTTGGAGATTGTTCGGGTTTTCCATTCATGTAATAGGAACGGGGAGAACTTTTATGAGTTTAGTCAGTGATTTCCTTGCCATGAATTCGGAAAGACAGCCTACACCCCACCAACAAGAGCGTGGGATAGTGAACCCAACCGTGGGAGTGTTGAATTGATTGAGAACTGTGAGATGTTGAAACGATCGATACAGACATCGATGTTTCTTGGAGAATTTCTTACTCTCCAGCTCTGACTATCGTGCCCCTCGGGATCAGAGAAAGGGCTGCAAGTAAAAAGAGCGACGCTATCCATCTATGCCTCCAGGAGGAATCGAACCTCCGTCTCCTCTTGTACCTCAAAGCCACGGTAACACCGGGCGGCGATGATCTACCATGATCCACGAAGGCTTTCTCTCTTCCATCGGGCTACTCCGTTGGATTGAAAAGAAAAAGACTGCATCTAAGGTTGGCTCTTCATTTGAACAACACAATTACACATTGCTTGGAGGCGATAACCATACTCCACAGAGGTTTGATGTCCGTCATCCCTGAGCGAACCCTCTCAGTTTCCTTTAGTTTGATTCTGATTCAGACAAAATGAAAGAGGGGGAAAAACCCAGTGGCGACTTTGCTTCTACAGGCTCCCGGAGGGAATCGAACCCTCATCCCTCGGTTAAGGACCGGACCAGAGCATCTATTTTTTCTGACTGATGGAACTACAAAGGCTTGTTATCAAGCCTTCGGGAATCTGGTTGTCAATTTCTTCCGCTGGATTATGCAGTTGGGCTCGTGGGTGGTCTAAAAAGCCCACGGCAACGATTAAAGCCTTCGAAGGGAGTCAAACCCGCGTTCCCATCCACTGGCAGAACCGTCATTCTTGCCAATTAGCGTTCAGAGGTGATCACCGTGATCTCAGAAGACTTTATCCCTTTCTTATCTGAACCTTCCTTGCTGGCGATTTATGATGAGGTCGAAAGGCCAACACAGGTATTATTAAAAAGATTCTTCGAGCATATTGAAGTACGCTCTCGGAGGGAGTCGAACCGCCGCTCCTGCATGAACTGAATCGGTCCTGTGTACACTCACATGAACGGGATGATCACCTTGATCCTCGAGGGCTCTTCAACTACTGCTAAAAATAAGGGAATGCCCTGCTGATCAGGTACATTATTAAAAGAGCACTTGGATTTCTACACCCTCGGGGAGAGTGAACCTAGTCTGTAGTTAACCGCGCCACCGATGCAAGGTCGCCAGATTATTACCAATCATCTGGCAGGTGATTACAAATAAAAATTTCCCTCCCTTCCCACTGCTCCCTACATCCTCCAGCAGTTGAAATTCAACCAAATCGGTACACTCTACTACTGTATGAAGGGATCTGCCCCTTCACAATATTTTTATTCTATGCCTTTGACCTTGAACTAATATCTCAATCTTTGTCGCATGCCGTCGGCATGCCGGGCATCAAATTTCGGCATCTTCGTTCTTGAACCTTCGCAACTAAATTCCGCTGCAGAGAACACTCGGGTCGATGTACTGAGCGTCATAGAGGCCTTAAATCGACAAAAAATGTGTCGAAGGACTCACCTCAACATCCGAGAAATTTTGTGATTGGTAATAATCTGGCGAGCGATCAAGGGATCACTCTAATCAACAGACTACAAATTTTTGTAGCGTCTGTCTACGAGAGACTAGAGTGAACCTCCGTCCCTTCCAGAATCATGGATCTTGGCCCGTATTATTTAAATTATCATCGTGATTCACAAGAGCTTAGTAGGCTTCCTTTCTTGCCTCTTTTATGAGGACCGACTGAAAAAAAGGTGAAAAAAAAATTGTGCTCACACACTTTGATGTCCCCGGAAAAAGTCGAACCTCGGTCTACCTGATACACCGTAATCGTCGAAATTCACATGGTGTCCAGGGATCACAGCGATCTACTAGGACTGTTATAGAGTATAAAACTACGTATGGTTAGCTGTCTGCAATTTTTCTGGCGTCAATATCACCGTGTTTTTGTAACTTCAGTAAAATATCGGGAAGAATGGATCAGTAAATAGGAGAGAAGAGGTAGGGCACTGGCCAAAATCATTTGAAGACATATTTCAGGAGTTGTGAACTCGAAAGCGGTCAATTGCGCCTTAAACAACCTGAAACGCGCAAAATGGTCCGTGCATAATTACCAAAATAAGCCGTTAATCCGACGTTGTGATTTGTTTCGCTTGTAACCTTGCCGTCTGAAGCTTTGGAGCATAAAACGCGTACCTGAGAAGTCTTGAGATCTTCCTTCACCCCGTTGGCTATTAAACGCGAAAAGTACCCTTGTTGTTGATGGCTTGACGCGACGCACGTGATGGGAAAAAGGGGCGGATGTGCAAACAAGACCAACGTTTGGAGCAACTCACGCGTCTTGCCTCCTGCGTTCATCGTCTCTGTACCTTCCCGCCAATTTCCCCACCAGCAACCCCCAATGCCCAGAAAAGCCGCTGCCGACGCCGACGCCGCCGAGCCCCGTCGCTCGACTCGCATCAAGGACCTCCCCAAGGTCGACCCGCCCGTGAAGAAGGCGCCGGCCAAGCCCCGCGCGAAGAAAGAGCCCAAGGAGGGCGACGAGGAGAAGCCGAAGCGGGGGAGGAAGCGCAAGGAGCCTGCCGCCGACGCCGAGGACGCTGCGGAGGAGAATGGCGAGGCGGAGGATGGGGAGCCCCCTGCGAAGAAGGTTGGTCTTTTGCTCGTCTTGTCAGGTCTCGTGGGTGCACGACGACGAGGAAGGACTTGTTTCATTAAAGCATGTATGCTGACTTCCTCCCCACAGGCCAAACCCGCCTCCAAGGCAGCAGGCTCCAAGCCTGCATCCAAGGCCGCCGCCAAGCCCGCAAGCAAGGCCGCCAGCGTCAAGCCCGCTAGTAAGGCCGCCAAGCCTGCAAGCAAGGCAGGCAGCGTCAAGCCCGCCAGTCGCGCGGCGTCCAAGAAGCCTGCATCCAAGGTTGGTGTCGTCGTCTTGCCCTGCGTCCCCCTTGCCACCCTCACCCCACCTCCCCAATCCACCTCGCCATCGCCATCGCCTCTCTCCCTCCCTCTCATGCTTCCGGTGTACATGAGCGCTGATGAATTCCTCCTCGCAGGCCGGCGCCGACGCAGCCCCCTCAAGCAGCGCTCCCGTGGGTGAGACCATCGCAGAGGAGCCCGAGGAGGAGGCCGCTGAGGTTTGTCTTACTTCCTCTCCTTACTTCCTTCTTCATGCATTCCTTACTAACCCTTTTATCTCTCTCGCAGGCCTAAATACTCGACCGCACACACCCACCACACACCACCGCGCACCCACCACCACCTCTCCCTCCCGCACCGCGCGCCCAGCCGACCAACCACGAGACCGCCCTTGCTATCGCTTGCTTATCGTCTATCTATCTCTCTCCCTACCGTACCCGCGTGTTGTATGTATGTACGTCCCTACTACCTGTTTGTGTCCATGGCCATTCTACGCTTGTGTATCCCCTTCTGCGTGATATATAGCCTTAGGTTTTTTTACCTCTTTTTAGGATAGCTTTTCCCCCTTCTTCTTATTTTTGTTACGCTTCTACTTCCACTGGTCTACGCGTTTTCGTTCCCCACACACGTCCCCCTCCCTCGTCGGGCTATCACCTTAATTTCTACTTTCCCCGCAGGACCCGACGCCTCCACCCGGCCCCTTTTTGTGTCGCCTTGCCTCGCTGTCCATGTACCCCGCCGTCTCGTCTTGAATTTATGCCATGCCACTGGTCCTACTCCCATACTCTCTCCACGTGTTGGCCGCAAGGTCCTCGACTTTAAAGATGCGAAGATTGATGGAGATATCGAAATTCTTCACCAGCGCCTCCTGCCTGTCCCCCATCTACTTACATTTCTCGCCCTTTTCTCCTTGTCTTGGTTAACGTCCGCCCTGGGCTCTTCTCCTCGGCTGTCCGTGCATCTTCCTGACCTCCTAGTCAGTCTCGCCCCTACATTCCGGAATGCAGACTGACTCTCTGCGTCAGGATGGGGAGGTAGCCTCCGACCATCGTCACCACCGTATGCGGGTCAAGCCTGACTTTGCGCCCCTCGTTCCTTCCTCGGTTTTCTGGGACGGAGCGGTGTGGGTGGGTGTCTCCTTCCTCTCTGTGCGCTGACTGACTGTCTCTCGGTCAGGACACCCACCACCGATGTCATCGTAGCAAAACCCATGACAAGCTTGGACCATACACCAAGCTCGATGTCCGATAATACTGATACTTGGCGCCAGACAGACTGACTTGCTTCCATACGTTCGACGCCGACGCCTCTAGGCTCATTCCCGACTCAGCTCGATGCGTCCGTCGGAGGCGGTCGGAAGCGGTCAGTCCTCCTCTGCATCGTAGGAATGATTTGTACTGACTTTGAATCCCACCGTGTGTTAGGCGTCCGTTCCCACCACCCGCATCGCAAGAGCTCGACGACGCCCTTTACGCATCGCACTGTCCCGAGATAGTAAACTTGCGTGACGCTTGCGATTCGCCATTCGCGACTCGTCCTCTGCTGCCGTGAAAGGGTTTATTTCTACGACGCCTGGACCGTAGATGCTGACTCCTCGCGGGCCGACCGTATCGTCAGTGACCCCCCTCCGTCACTTCTTTTGCGTTGGCTCGAATGTCTGACTTCTTTGCTTTAGGTGGATCAATCTTGACACTGGCGACCTGGACCCTGGAGTCTCCTTCGTCGTCCTCGTCGTCGCCCCCCGTTCTTCGCACTTTCCCGTCAGTGATTCCTCTTCGCCGGCGGTCGAGTAAATCTGACTCTGGACTTCCTTTCGTATTGCAGAGAAACCTGCCGCCATGACATGTGCTGCAAACGTAGACGCGGATATGTGGACGACACAAGAGGCTGCTCCTGGCGCATCCTATCATCCTCGTCTTTCGGCGGCCCGCGGACGGGAAGACTCGTACGTGGGTGGAGATACCTCGCTCTAGCTCGCATTGGAGGCGCGTGGGCGTATTCTCGATCATCGGACATGGTCGTCCTTCCGACTTCCCGCCCGCGTTTTTATTCTCGCGCGCAGGTCCCGACTTGCGCGGGGGTGCTGCCGCGTCAGCTCTCCCACCTGCTCTCGATTTCTATCGCTCATGCAAACTGTGTCCGTGTCGCGGTGTGGACCGTTCATCGGGGAGCGGGAGGGTGAATCACATCGGTCTCGCGTCATGGTCTCTTCCTCTCCACACGTCTACCACCGGCGTCGTCACTGGCAGCATTACCTCCACCGGAACCATTGTCAGTAATACCACCGCCGACAACCTTTCTCTTCCACTTCCGCCCCGCCCTGTCGCTCTTTGTCCCCTTCGTCCGTCATTCGTCTCCTCGCCATCCAAAATCCCCGCGGCACCCGCGCGCATTTGGACTCCGGCTCTCGCCTTCACCAGCGC